CCGGTTTGCTCTCCATTCCCAAGGCCAAACTCCGGAGCTTTGGGGACAGAGTCTTCTCTGTGGCAGCCCCGAAGCTCTGGAACTCCCTCCCCCAGGACCTCCGTGAGTCTGAGTCCCTCACCCTGTTCCAGTCCCGCCTCAAAACCCATCCCTTCAACTCTGTATATCCATAAGCCCCCCCCCTCTCAACCAACTTCCTCCTGACTGCTTTCTGTTTTCTTTTTGTTTTTTTTCTGTTTTTTGTTTTTGTTTTATTGCCTGTCCTTGTTTGTCTACCCTTCCCCAAATGTAAAGCGTCTTTGGGTTTGTGAAAAGCGCTATAAAAATACAATTTATTATTATTATTATTACCCATATAGGCGGAGCACCCCTTTTCTGACGTCAGAAAAATTCAAATCTGTATCAGCTCCATTGCAGCCCCGTTTTTAGAGATTTGGGTATGGAGGAAAAGAGAGAGGGTTGTGATTTCTGACACTTGGTGAGTTCCCTGACACACCGGGGACACATATTCATGTATAAAAGACGTACAAAAGTGCAGTAACTATAGTAACGCAGTGTAGGCGGAGCCGTGACGTCATCTTCAATGAGAACCACAGAAAAACAACATCAGCCGTTAGCTGTTAGCACTCAAGCTCACAGCTCCTCATATCTGTTCAGAAACTAGACAAAAGTTAAACAAGTACAAACTAGGGGTGGGCGATACCACAAAATCTGGATTCGATCCGATACCAAGTATTTCAGGGCCAGTATCGCCGATACCGATCCTTTTTTTAATGAAAAGCGTCTTATGTACTTTCATGTAGGGGAGAGCTGCATGACATGATTTGTTAGCTGAATGCATCATAAATAGACTAAATCTGAATTCATTTTCATGATTAAAGACAGGACAGTTTTTATAGACAAATAAACATTTTACTTTTGCAAATTTAAAGTGCAAACAGGAAAAATAACAATACAAAGTGGCCACAGTAGCGAACTGCCTTCTTGCACACATCACAGTTCGCTAAGTTTTAATTGACAGTAGTGAAATAGCTCCACACAATGCTCCTCTTTCTCTCAGCCATCATGCATGTGTGTGTGTGTGTGTGTGTGTGTGTGTGTGTGTGTGTGTGTGTGTGTGTGTGTGTGTGTGTGTGTGTGTGTGTGTGTGTGTGTGTGTGTGTGTGTGTGTGTGTGTGTGTGTGTGTGTGTGTGTGTGTGTGTGTGTGTGTGTGTGTGTGTGTGTCAGTGGGATACAGCATCAGGCAGTTATAAATGGCCATCATTTCACTCGATTTTATGCGGCAAGCTTAAAGCGAGCTCCGCACTGTAGTGGAAATGCGCCATTAGACCCCCTTTTCTGCCTCTGCCTTGCCCCCGGGCTGTCCGCCCGAGACCCCCTTCTCAGCGTTTCCCCGGGCCGTCCGCCCGAAACCACCTTCTCCGGCCATCCGCCTGAATAAAAGCTCGCTTTTTGTTTATATTCCTATATCCAATGTTTTTGTCCTGCATCCTTACCCTCACTGTGACATAATTGATTGAATGTTATATTGAATCGCACACAGGCCAAACAAGTGGACTTGGAAACATTTTAAACATTAAATAATCTCAAGCCAGTGTCCCAGATGAAATCATTAGTATCAACTGCCAGCTTTTCAGAAAAAAGGCTTAAGATGATAAAGTAAATATTGTAAATCAAACTTGTGAAATGCATGATTGCTTCAGGAGGAGGTGTCAATTCTGCTCTCTACATCAGTGGTTCCCAAACTTTTTGTGCCCAAGGCACACCAAAGGACAAGTAAAAATCTCAAGGCACACCTATTGTGCAAAATATCATGTAAAATATCTGTAAATGTGCATAATTATTTACTAATGCCAAATAAAATGTGACAAAGACAACTATATTACTCATGAAATATTTATTAACGAAATATTTCAGAAATTAATTTGAAACTTTATCAAATTAGGCTTCATCAAAGCAGCAACACACTCATTTAAACCAGACAGGTCACAAAATAAAAAATTGTGGAGGATCAGGCTTTGGTGGTCGGCTCCCATCTCGGCGCACAGCTGGGAGAAGAGGCGAGATTTCAGGGGCCTTGATTTGATGTAATTCACGATCTGCACAGCCTGATTCAGCACCTCAGTCAACTCCGGGGGCATGGTTTTGGCAACTAATGCCTCTCTATGCAAAATGCAGTGGTTTGTCACGATATGTGGGTTTTGTGCTCTCACCTTAGCAATACATCCTTTCACTCTCCCCGTCATGCTTGCCGCGCATCTGTGCAAAGACTGACGCACATATTCCAGGTCAGACTGTTCTCTTTTAAATAGTTATTAGTTACCCTGAATATTTCTTCTCCCGTAGTATGGCTTTCCATTTCTTTGCAAAAGAAAAACGTCTCTTTGATAGAGTCAGCATCAACATATCTGACGTTTGCCAGAAGTTGGGCAGCCCCACTTATGTCAGTAGATTCGTCTATTTGTAGGGAAAATCTGCCGCTCGCCTGCAGTGCCATAAGACAGGTAACTTTCATGATACTGTCTGCTGACAGTTTTTTTCCTCTTTTCTTTCGGTGGTGGGTTGTCGGCAGTCTCTGCACTGGTGGTTGGTGGTTTGCTCCGCACAAGAAAGCGCTCAATTTTCCCTCTTGCGTGTTTCTCTGTTTTAATGTTGTCCTTCAGCCTTCGATGTGTCACGGTCTTATAATTCCCACCTGCAACTGTGTTAACAGCGAAATATGGGGTTCTGTGAGGATTTTTTTTTAAATAATTGTTTTTAGGTATAGAGTTTGCCTCTGTATTATGAAATGAGTGCATACAAAGTACTGATATAGTAAATTAAAAAATAATTATTTTTGTGTAGTTGTATATTGCAATAATAAAGTATGGTTGTCACAAAATCCCACGGCACACCCGGACTTGCCTCACGGCACACCAGTGTGCCGCGGCACACCGTTTGGGAACCACTGCTCTACATTACCATTTATAACCATAATCTTAACCTTGGCAGGAAAAGTTTCAGTCGACATGTGCCAAGACACGTGAAAACCTTCTGTTACAGGTCCAGTGGATATTTGCTGTCATTCATTCAGTTCTGTGAGTATCAGCTTCACTGTTAAAAATCTCCTGCTTAACTGTTACAATAACTGGTACAATTTGTATGTATTGGGAATGTAAGCTTAAACTATATACTATATGTAGAAATTACTCAAATGAATACATGTGTAGCCTTCTGCTAATACTCATAAATAATCCACAGCTACAATAGGTTACTTTAAGCAAGGCTGCATCAATTTAGGGAATGTTTTGTGACATGGGTTTTGGCCATAGGTGGCGAGTGGAGCTCAAGATAGGGTAGGCTATTATTTGACCAACTACTTGTTACAACATCTTACAATGGAACAGAAGATGTTTTGATGTTTATAACAGCAATTAAATGCAGCTGCTGACCCAATAAGGGACAGCACTGGAGCGACAGGGGACTGGATGTTTTTTGCAGGAGCTAAGGCATTTTGACACAAATAACAGCAATAATAATATTATATAATAGCTTACTAGGATACAGAAAGATGAGATTCTACAATGCCGGACTAATATGCAGCCCTAGGCACACAGCACATGAGAGAACTTGAGAAATATTTGTTGACCCTGCGGCACTAACTGACAGTGTTGATGCAGCTCATGAGACAAAGACAAGTTTCTAAGGCAGCATTTGATGAGTAACGTTAGGCTAGTACGCCACACACGACATGCTGTTACAGTTTCTAAACGCGTCCCCCTGATCCTTCTGACATAGTTAGTGCCCTGACAGTGATACATTATTATTATCTCATCATTCACTAAATGTGTTGATTATAAAAAACGTAGCCTTATACTACAGCCTGATATTTGGAGCCGCTAAACATAATGGATCATAGCAGTAGCCTGTTTAGGGAACATTGTTGTGCACAACAGAAACAGGACTAATAATTTAGGGAAGGCTTCACCTTCTCTAACCTTCATTACCCGACGCCTCTGGTTTTGGCCGTGTTCCACTGCAACACTGTCCCTGGGCCTTTTGTTCAGCACAAAGAGCAGCTGCTTGTTAAACCTATAGTGTCTACCTTGGTTCCAAGAAACACCAATGACACTCAGAGCATTTAAATTACACGTTAGACCTGTTTCAAATTCATGAGTACAAAGAGTAAAGCAAACAAATCCGGCGAGCCGTGAAAACTAATGTAATAATTCCTTTTAGAGAAAATTATTTGTGGGATAGGCAGCGCAGGCTGTTGAACTTGCATGTACATCAACGGAGTTTCACAGAGGCACCAACACCATATTTAGCAAGATGAATCAACACTTTAAAAGGTTTTGATACCTTTACATCTATCAACTTGAAGGTACCAAATCTTTCAAATGAATTGGTCAGCACCATAGCTATTTAAGATGAACAATAAGAAACAGCATTACCCTAAGATCTAATCTGGTGCTTTAGATGTGTTTAGTGTTCTGAAGACTTTGCACAAAAAGATACTTTTGAACATGCACATTAAAGGTAGGGTAGGTAAGTTTGAGAAACCGGCTCGAGATCGCTAGAATTTGAAAATACACAACCGGAGAAAATCTGCCACTTCCTTACAGAGCCCCTCCTCCAACACACACAAACGTGCACATGACCAATGAGGGCACGAGATAAGTTTGTGCACAGATGGAAGGCTGACAGGCAGGTAGGCCATCCAGTTATTTTAGCCGGGCCGGCTAAAATGATTGGTCGTGCTTTTTACAGTATTACGGCTTCCACAGATGAGATTTTTTGTCAAAGCACTTAAGATATTCATTGCTATCGGGATGTTAAGAGCATTCCATGGAATATAACAAAAAGTGTATCTCGAGCCGGTTTCTCAAACTTACCTACCCTACCTTTAAGTATAACACGCCCAAAAAACAGCTAAACTGAATATTTGTACTTACATTTCAACAGATGTGTCCTGATGGAGCCAGCAAGTTATCCAGGGAATCTAAAGAATAAAATAAGAATGAAAGATGAAAACAATCAAAATCATGCTCCATCTTACAGTGCAAAGAGAGGTCAGTGGGCCAACAAGAGGGAGTTCATTTTGTCAGTATCCGGATTCCGGACAGATCATTGGTCTGGGCAATGTTTGGAGATTTTCATATCTGTGCTTCAAAAATGGAGGTGGTAAGAGCATTTAAAACATCTTATTGTACTGCCCAGGAGTAAGTTAGATAAGTAAAAGCTGGAAAATGTATACCCTTTCATGCATGAATTATGAAAACCTCAGTCAGGATTTTTTTACCAAGTGTTTTTATTGCTCTTGGGGCATGAAAAACAAGATTTGAACTTTATTTTTTTTATATCTAGTTTTTTCAAATTTTGAAAAAAATATTTTTTATATGTCCACAAAAAAGATAAATAAAGATGTGCAAACTTAAAAACATTATAATAATGTAAGTATATTGATTTACGGCCCACAAAGATATTGCAGATTAAGTATTTTCAAGAACAATAGCAGTAACAGTATGAATTGTAGTTTAAATATAGCCAGTAACACTTTAGAGACGTCCACTTTAGTGGACAGGTGATCAATCATAATTTCCTGCAAACATAAAATCAATACTTTGACAATTTATGAATTATATGATTCCTTAGTTGTTCCTTGATGTCACCAACATTGTTATACCTGCAGGGGGCACTTTCCATAAAAGGATTGGCAAGATATCGACGAGTGATTCGGTCCATATGGCTTTCTTTCGTCCATCTTGGTTTAGAGAAATGTATCATGCACTTACACTGACTTGGCACTGAGTGGCAGTGTGTGGGATGATGCAATAGGCTCCTATGTAGTGGCTGGTGTTCAACTATGCCATCAAAACCCATGCATATAAAAAAAAAACACCTTTTGAATAGTTGTCCACTGTAGTGACCTCTATGCGTGAAAGGGTTAAATCATTTATTCTTTGTATTTTTGTCACTATAGTTTATTACTTGGATACATTATTTCCTTTTAGGAGCTTTCCTGATCCCCTATGTGGTGTTCCTGTTCACGTGTGGAATCCCCATCTTCTTTCTAGAGGTATCTCTGGGGCAGTTAACGGCTCAGGGTGGGATCACATGTTGGAGGAAAATATGTCCCATATTTGGAGGTACTACTAACATAACTACATATTCCATAGAGTGCCAAAGTATTTGAAATATGTGTATATTGTTACATTACTTTTGTGTATCAAATGTTAAAATGGCAGTTCTATTTTTTTCAAAGGTTTAGGCTACGGCAGTCAAGTTACATTGTTATACAGTGTGGTGCATTACATTGTCATCCTGGCTTGGGCCTTCCTCTACCTCTTCTCCTCCTTCCACACTGTACTCCCCTGGGCCAGCTGCAACAACACCTGGAACACAGGTAAACATCGCACTGATGTTAGTGCAAAGGCCTTATGTAGGTACAGAATGACTGTGAGTGGCCAGATGGAGGCAATTAAGGCATGCTCAATTATGTATGGAGAACCCTTAACATCAACATGGTTGCAAATTCTGAAAATGTCAACTTGTTTCATTTTACTCTTTCGCTTCAAGATAACTGCATTGATTGTGGACAGAATGATTCAGTTTATCGCCACATCAATGAAAACACAACATCATCAGTGAAAGAATTCTGGCAGTAAGTACTCACATTCGCAAAACAGTTTTTAGAGTCACTAAAATGTCTCTTGACATAACTTTCTTCTTGCACTCAGGAGGAGAGTCTTGGGCTTGTCTGGAGGAATTGAAGAGATGGGCAGTATCCGCTGGGACCTGGCTGGATGTCTTCTGCTAAGCTGGATCATCTGTTACTTCTGTATCTGGAAAGGAATCAAGGCGACAGGAAAGGTGAGATGTATACGCTTATTATTAAATGGGTAATTTAAACCTAAAATTATAATTAAAACCTAAAAATGAATGGGCTTATTGACCACGATTAATAACAGTATGTATTGGTGCTCCTCTTTCAGGTTGTGTACGTCACAGCCACTTTTCCAGTTGTGATGTTGATTGTGATGCTGATCCGTGGGCTGACATTGCCAGGAGCTTTAACTGGAATTAGATATTACCTTTATCCTGATCTGACCCGTCTGACTGATCCTCAGGTGAGGTTTTTGTGTGACTAATGAGTGATGTGTAAGTGACACACTGCACAGAACAATACTTGGCTAACACTTGCAATACTAAAATGTATGGACTTTAACTTAGACCAAAACTAAATATTGGTTAATCATACTAGCAAATGTTACTTGTGAAGCCAAAGGCTGATATTAAATAGCTCCGGTTTTACCCTTGGATTAGAGACACTAGATGGAAGATAAGCATGCCACTTTCAGATGGCTCTAATTGATCAGTTCAAAAGGAAGGTCATCATACAAGTGTGCAAGCCGTTTTTGTACTAAGTTGTGCCATTTATTTTAAATTCACTTTGCAAAGTTGAATTCACTTCAAAGCCCACCAGAGCTCAACAAACTTTTGGTCCCTTAAAGACACAGTACAAAGGTGTGGGCAGAGCAGCCATGAATTGTTTTTATTTTCAACCAATCTGTGTAATTCAGCCTCTCACCTAATCGCATGGCCAAGTCATTGTAATTCTGGACATTAACGCAGCATTTGACACAGCTTTTTAATAGGAGGTTCGTTGTTTCTGGGGAAAACAATGTATTTTATAGTTCTTTTGTTAAAGTGGACCTATCATGCTATATTTGAACATTATAAAACGGACAAGTCAAATCAAGCAATCTGATTGGTTCTTAGCCGTGATATACTGAGCATATACCACGGGTAGAATTGTAGTTACTTTTCACAACAAGTCAGTATCCCTCTGCATCTGAGAAAAACTGTATACAGTTGGGCTGAAAAGCAAATGCTTTTCAGACTGGGACAAGAAAACAGCGGAGAAGTAACGGGGCAGAAACCCTCCTTTTTACGCAGCGGTCCAGACATAGACATCAAACGGCAAAACATATTCAGTGTGCAGTTCCTTTGGCATTAGGGCAGGGATATTTAGATACTTTCCAAGGTTTGACATAATGAATTGTGCTACTTTTAAAGCAAGCAACGATGTTTTCAAATCTGTAATCAAAAAGGTCCGCAAAAAGCTCTATCGACCAATCAGATAGCTTCATTTGACTTGTCCGTTTTATAAATATATTTACATTTCTTCTGTTACGAAACAAACTTACAAAGCATAAGATGGAAACATTTAAGATTAACTTCGACCTCCCGGGGGGTCTTACTATGGAGGAGTGGATTGAGGAGTGCCTATCTCCAGAAAAAAAAGCACCTAAACGACGACATGCAGAGCTACGTGAAGAGCAGGTAGATACCAGGGCTATTCAATTGGCGGCCCGCGGGCCAAATCTGGCCCCGGGGTGATATTTACTGGCCCTTTGAGTATAATGTTAAAGAGTAATCAATCTTTTTTTTTTAAGATTTCTTTTTTTTTTTTTTTTTGTGCCATAGTGCCTTTATTCCAGAGAGGGTGTTACATTGAGAGATAGAGGGGTAGACAATGCCTGAAAACTTCGACGGGCTCGGGTTTCGAACCCACCTACTATACTGTAGTGACAACTCCTGTCATTGATTGCATCTCTGCGTGAATGATTAGATCATTTCACCTAAATGAAATCAAATGAAACATGTAGGCCTACTGAGTTCTGAACTTGCCATTTAGATCTATAAAGGCCTTGGGGCTATGTTGTTTGATTGAATTAAAGACAATATATGCACTCCACTATGCTGTTGTAGTATTTACTGTATCTGAAGCTCTTAAATATGATTGCTCATATTTCAAGCCATCTTTTTCCCGGCCCCTTGCTTTGGATCATTTTCATCAACCGGCCCCCATTCCAAACTAATTGAATAGCCCTGAGGTAGACCAACTGGAAAAGTACCCCCATTCAAAAGCTTTCTGATGCAGAAAATATCTTGAAAGCAGAGCAATTATGACCGTTAGTGGCCACAGGTGCGAAAGCTCTCTCCAGAGCTACTGGAAGCCGAATCTCGGGCAATATTCTCGCCACGCCAAGCAACAGCCTAGAATAACCTCAACCTATACAAGTAACCACGTAAGCCATTCTACTGATGCTGGACAGTTTTTCAGTGGGTGCACAATAAACGGCAACATACACATTAATGTAAATAAATAGCCAAATTATTGATCAACGCTCTCTGTCTAATATGTTCGCTTTAGTGTTGTTGCATAGCAACCACCTCGCACTATGTTTCGTGCAGAAGGCAACGGAGGGACTATTTTATTTTGAACATCATAATTTACTAATAAAACTATTTAAATTAGAGTGTGTATTTTTCTTTCATATTGCCACACTTGGTAACCGTTTTATAAAAGCAATAGCTCACTTCAGGCCGTGGTATATGCTCATTATATCAAAGCTAAGGGGCGTGGTTCGGCCCGACGCGAGAGGTGGGTGTTTGTCATCTGCTGGTGGACTACCGGAGAGAATTACAGTGCTTGCCTCGACGGGGAGGGATTGCATTGAATTACAGCAGCAGGAGGAGCAAACGCTTGCCTCGGGGAGGGAGAAAAAGAGCCACAGCGGAGAATAAACAGAAGGGCAACCATGGCAACCTTGGCAACCATGCACGGGAAGTCTTCTTCGCTGCTTTTGTGGCAGACTACTGCGCCACTTACAGGCCTGGCATATGTACTACAGCGTCTCCAGTGCTTTCGAGCGGCAATGGCCGGCCGTGGCCCAACCCCACATTCCCCTGATAGGTGGAGAGTTGGCCATATAGGCGGAGCTCCTCGTTCCTGACGTCAGAGGAATTTCAAATCTGTATCGGTCTGTATCAGATCCGTTGCAGCCCCGTTTTTAGAGATTTGGGTATGGAGGAAAAGAGAGAGGGTTGTGTTTTCTGACACTTGGTGAGTTCCCTGGAACACCGGGGACACATATTCATGTATAAAAGACGTACAAAAGTGCATTTTGCATGATAGGTCCCCTTTAAGTTTGGTGTACCTCAGGGGTTGGTTTTGGTACCAATTATGTTTTCTTTATACAAGCTTTCCCCCGTTGGCACACTATTTATAAATATGTTTTTTTTAATTATATTTGATGCTGATTATATGCAGATGTACCTGCCCTAAGATTCACAAACCCTGGAATGCTGTATTCAACGAATGACTGTCCTTGTGATGTCAAAACAGAGATATTCTGAAATATGCTGTTTTCCCATTGGATCATGAAAACATTTTAAGTTTTAAATCATGTTTTTAGGAATTTAGGAATATGTATCTTTGATTTTAAAGACACAGAGACTATTTAAAACGCCTTCATCTGGCCACATCTGCAACGGGAAAAATATTTTTTCCTTGCCCAGACAAAAAATGTATCTATTGACTGCAGGACTCGGATCAATCCTGTTTTTCCGTCTTTGATGGCTCCAAATATGTTAAAGAAAATATTTTAGAATATTGCTGATGCTTTTATCTTTGACGCCTTTGTATTCACCATTACGTGCTGTACCCATAAATTAATGACCAGAAGTGTTTTTGTCTATTATAAAGGCTTGGCTGAAAACGAAAGGGAACAGGGTATTTGCCGTCAGGGCCCAGAGGCGGAGAATTGACCAATCAGACAGACAGACACATTAACATGGAATACAAGCAGGTACAAGTTAGGTTTCAGGTCTACCAGAGGAAAAAAGCAAAATTGATGATCTGCCAATGAGAAGGTGGAGAAGGTGAAAATACTATTGGGAGTAATAGGGAAAGAGGAACATGTGAGCAGGAGGATGTAGGAGTCAGATAGGACATGTGGGAAAGTCTGAGTACATCCGGAGGAAAGATACAAATTGTGTTAGAGAGTTTCTAAGTCATGCATGGAAGTGGAAATGTGGCTTAAGAGAGGGACAGAAAGGTAGAATTCTAAATGGCTGAACCAAGTACACAGTATAACAAAGTATAGTTGTATATTATACAAGTATAAACATCATATGTATCAATATTTAAAAGCATTTAAAAATCACTGGCACTGCACATTTAACTGATTTAAGGTGTGGATGGATGCTGGGAGCCAGGTATTATTCTCCTATTGCATTTGCGTAGGCACTTTGCAAGCGATGGGAAGCTACAACAAATACAACAACAACTGCTACAAGTAAGGAAAACATTGTATCCTATGTTTGTACATTATATGCATTTAACGGTTTATGTCATGCAGGATAAAATACATAATCGTCCTTTTTAATTTCCAGAGACACTTTCGCCTTGTGCACACTAAACAGTTTAACCAGCTTTGTTGCTGGCTTTGCAGTCTTCTCTGTTCTTGGCTTCATGTCGCATGAATTGGGTGTTGACATCTCAACAGTAGCTGAATCAGGTATGGGATGGTTTGAGGAAAAACATTGTGGTGTATATTAGCTTTGTTGTGTTCCTATGAAAAATATTAAGTGATGAATAAATTGTTTTGTTTTTTTCAGATGAAGAGAACAAATATATAATTCACAACTTAACAAATTCAAGTCTCACAATAACATGTGAGAAGAAACACTTGGATTTTGGTCCCCATATGTCATGTGGGACCTCACATCAATGTGTGCTGCAGGGTTCTTTCAATTATAATTCACAAGAACATCATTCTTGTACCTGTAAAGTACTTATGAGGACCCTCTACACTCAAAAAACGGATTCTTGGTCCACATAAATATGAAGCAATATTTTCAGATATAATATAACCAGTGGCGTTTTTATATGTACAAAAGTGGTGGGGCACAAAAAACGTAGATGTCTATATATAAGCTTCTGCAGTGACGTGCAGTGAGGTTCATGGCTGGTGAGGCACTGGCACTGACTCTTCAGGTTTACAAATATTATATTTTGACCTAAACCAAAATATAATATTATTTTCAAAAGCTTTTTTTGTCTGATGCTTCGATTAATTTTAAACAGACAGTTCAACAAAAGGATACCCAAAAAATGTAATTTTATCATTTAAATATTGAATTGTTCTCTCTTAGTAAGATCCCATTTTCAATCAAATTGCGGTCTTACCTTGACTTGAAGATGAAGTCCATTTGCCTATCCTTCTGGACAAAAATGTCTATAACTTTTTTGTAAAAGTCCTCCTTATGTTCTTGTAGTTTCAAAAGTCTATCATAAATCTAATCCATAGATTTATGATAAAAAAATTATAAAAGTAGGGTAGACATGTGGATGTTATCCGGCTGATCAAAACGTGCATTTATCTAACAGGTACATTTCCCACAGATCTTATTTCCAGCTATTTTCTAAAATCCTCTGGAGAAATCTCATTGCTTTTTTGTCGAGGGAAGCCATGCGCAGCTTACTTCCTGGTTTTAGGACGCGTCACTGCAGCTCTCTCGTCTCCTCTTCACACACCACACTTTTCGCGGCACACGTACTTACAGCCAATCAGCTCTGAATGATTTGAGATGACGTATGGTGGGGATGGTAGCTCCATGCCCCTCTGGTCATTATTTTTTTGCCACACACATTTCATTACAAAATACTCTGAGCATGCGCAGTGTAGTTTTTACAGTCACCGTTGACTTCACAGCGAGAGGGAGGGGCATAATCAGGTTTTGTCCCACATGGCTCTAAACAGCTCAATAGGCACACACTGTGACTGTAGACCAGGGTTTGAGTTATGTGGGAGCCAATGGGAGCTGAGCTCCCATAAGGAGGGGTCTGAGCTCCCACGGACGCAGTGAAATCATACATCTGTGGGGGTCACTAATACATTACCAACAACCATTATTTTAATCACAAATAATGCATGTGTCAATGTAATGAGTATTATTTACGTTAACGAGGTAAATAGGCTAAAAGAAAAACATGTTTTCCAAAAGAACAACGCATCTCTTGAATGACAATATGCCTGCACTGCAATACATTATTGCGCAATCTGTGCCTGTGAGCGTGCTGCGCGAGCCGAGATGATGTGTGTGTGCGTAGTCGAACCTTTTCATATTTAAGTTTGTAGCAAGTAGAGGCCTGCTTCTGCTGTGTGTGTGTGTGTGTGTGTGTGTGTGTGTGTGCGTTAGTTTTAAAGACCCCCATAGAGCTCAGTTTATAACTCGAACCCTGCTGTAGACACACTAATTAGAAGAACACAGACTAAAACAGCAATGTACAGACGAATCAGATGATTAAACATGATCTTAAAATATATTTTATATATTTTTTTTTTTTTTTTGCATTTTTGTAATCATTATTTGTAATACTTTCTGCTGACACTAGGTGGGGCTGTGCCCCACCTGCCCCTAATGACCAGTCGCCACTGAATATAACTGAAATCTGTCAAATATAAAGTGGATTTGTTCAAGCAATTGAACACAACGTGAATATGTTGAATATAAACTGAATGTAAGACAATTAGTACAGTTTATTCTATTAAATCCCATAAAGGGAAGGCAGACCCTGAAAGGAGGTAACGCGCATGCGCAAAGCATGACATTACTGACGTTGACTAGTGTTCACACTGGACGTAGACTTGGCGTTTCAACCTACACCGTCGATCGACGGACTTTAGGTAAGTCTAATTGTTTAATATTCCGCTGCTTAACCATACGTTATTGAAGATGAAAAGTTATTTTAACGTGTTTATGCTATACATAGACGAATATAATTGTCTGCATGTGTATATTCGTCATGCAGTTAGGTTCGCGCTTCACAATGCTGGCTGTCTAGCTAGCGAAACGAGGCCAGCTAGCGAAACGAGGCCTAGCTAGTTGGGTGCTGCTTGTACTAAGCATGATCCAGAGCCGGCAGCAGCACCTTTTGTGCTTTGTTGCCCTCGTGAGAGTTAGTAATTCAAGTTACATTGGAGTTCCTTTCGTGCCGTATTTTTAGCTAACACTATCTAATATCGGCATGAAGGTGTTCTTTTCCCCATAATGACCAAGTCGCTGCACATTATCCCGCTTATTACATGGCCACATTCTCAACAAAGTAACGATATGACTCCCAATATTAATTGAAATGCTTTTATGGATTTAGAAAATGATTTTATTGATTTAAAAAATAGTTGTATGTATTGATTTAAATTGACATCCATCCGCTAAGGAAAATAGTCCGTTGTTACCGTTTGAAAAACGTAGCAACGGCAGGAAGGCGGAGCTTTTTGATTACAGATTTGAAAACAATTCATTAGGTCAAATGAATTGGTAAGTATCTAGATATCCATGCTCTAATGCCAAAGGAACTGCACACTGAATATGTTTTGCCGTTTGATGTCTATGTCTGGACCGCTGCGTAAAAAAGAGGTTTTCTGCCCGTTACTCCTCCGCTGTTTTCTTGTCGCTCTTGTCTTGTCAGTTCGAAAAGCATGCTTTTCGAACTGACAAGACAAGAGCTTAAAAGCAAACTGCAGTTTGCTTTTCAGCCAAACGGTATACAGATAAATCGACCGGACTTCTTTGTGCAGATGTGAGCGTCCTTAACAACGGTCAATAAATCCTTGACAGCGGTCTGTCTGTTCTGGATTAACAACGTGTCACGTGTTCTGAATTGACCAATCAGAATCGAGTATTCAACTAAGCCATGTAATAAGACATAATACTAATTAGTGATTAAAAACCGACATTTTCTACCAAGTAGCATCATTTTTAAATCAAGCTGCTGCTCTGCATCACAGAAATCCAGCAGAGGCCTTATTTATTTACATAATATTTCAATATCTGGCTAGTTTGCTGCATTGTTCTACAATGCCAAGGAATAGCTTATTCCTCACCTTTGGAAACTAACCTTGTGCTATTTTTGTTATAGATCTAGGAGCTAAATCAACATTGTGGATGGGCAACCTCTCTATATAGGTAAGTAATTTGAACGTGATGCAATCATTTCATTTCTTATACTTGATAGCATTGAGAAGTTTTTGAAACTTGTCTTTTTTTATTTATTTTTAGGTGTAATATGTGAATGGGTGTGTGGCAATGTAAGGTGTGTGGAAAGTCTGTAGCAAGTAGATACGAGCTGCTTAAACATGGCAAATTAAAACATCATGGGAACAGGTTCCGGCATCCTTGCCCATACACTAATTGCCCCTGCACATTTAGATTGTGGAACAGTCTTCTGAGTCATATATACCGTAGTCATAAAACCCAAACATCCCCAAAGCCATCTGAGTTGTCTACATTTTCATGTCAGTTGTGTGCTTGTCCTGAGCTTTCAAATGAACAAGCTTATTTCAGTCATGTAAATGAACATCTACGGAGAAATGAAACTGTAACATGCATGTTTAAAGATTGTGTTTTTAAAACTAACATCTACAATACATTTCATACTCATAAATACAGGAAACATAATCCCCATATTTTAAGTGATTTCAAAGCTGAGGTTGTTACTGTAGTTGTTGGATTAATTGAATCTGACAATTCTGTTATTGATGGTGATGCAGATGTAGAATCTGATACTTGTATAGATGCACATGGTTGTTTTGATACTGAAGATCTACCCAAGGTTATTGAGCAGAAAATTGCCTCTGTTTTACTGAAATTAGAACACATTTTGTTTGTACCGGCAACAGCAATTGACGAATTACTGCAGGAATTACACTTTTTGTTAAGCTTCTCATCTGTTCCGATAACCTTTAACGGCCTATCGGACATTTTTAAAAACCACTGTGTTGAAATTGATGAGTCCATTGTCAAAGAGCTTGCTCAAGAAGTGTGTAAATCTAATCCCTTGACCAAAGCCTTTGCAAAAGACGGCCCCCTGGCTACATCTTTCAAAAGAAAAAAGTATTACAAAGAATATTTCAGTGTGGTAAATCCAGTTGAGTACATCCTTGATCCTAAGAGTAAAAGAACATATCAGTATATTCCTATATTGCGTTCTTTGCAGCATCTGTTAAGTAACAGTGACATACTAAAAAGTGTAATTCACACACATGAGACACAGAAAAGTACACAGTGTTTAGGGCAGTATAAATCGATAAGGGATGGAAATTACTCAAAAGAAAATGGCCTTTTTACTGGGGAGGATTTGAAATTATCATTATCACTATATGTTGATGACTTTGAGGTGTGCAACCCCATAGGTACGTCCAGAAAAACTCATAAACTTTGTGGTGTGTATTGGATTTTGAATAATTTACCACCTGGATCTCACTCAGCTCTTTCTTCCATCTACTTAGCTGTATTATGCAAGACTATTGATGTGAAAGAGTACGGATATGAACACATTTTAGATCCCCTTTTACAAGACTTGGTCATTCTAGAGACACATGGTGTTTTTATTTCAGGTCTTGGAGCGTCTGTGAAAGGCACTGTCCAGTCGGTCATTGCAGACAACCTAGGAGCCCACGGGATAGCAGGGTTCATTGAAAGCTTTTCTGGTGTCTACTTCTGCAGATTTTGTACAGGTACAAGAGCAGACATTCAGACTAAAACGGTTCAGTCAGGTTATTTTGAAAATCGTACAAAAGACTTGCATCACACGCACATTACATTTGCAAGAGAGAATGCCACCATCTGTTGTGGGGTAAAGAGAGAGTGTGTTTTTACAAAAAGATTATCTTATTTTCACGTTACTCGGGGTTACCCTCCTGACATTGCACACGACTTATTTGAGGGTGTTGTTCCAGTTGAGATTGCCCTTTGCATTGGTTTGTTTATTTCCAAGAAATATCTATCTCTTAACACTTTAAATGAGCTTATCCTGAGCTTTCCATACAAGTGGGGGGACAGAACTAACAAACCTCAAGGTTCAAGGTTCAAGGTTCTTTATTGTCAATCTGACATAGCTACAGAGTAATTATGCAGTTGAAAATCTTATGTCACAGGCTTCTCCAACAATGCAACATAATAACATAACATAATAACAATAAGAGCAAGAGCAATACAAAAATAATAATAGTTATAAAAATGAAATAAAGTTATGATGTGGAATAGTGCAGTATGAGTCTATATACAAGTTATTGGAATGATATATATATATTAGGTATTAGATACATACTACTGAGTAGCAGTTGAATGTTTGAAGTTGTTTCAACAGTTCAATTTTTTTAACAGTCTCACTGCCCGCGGGAAGAAACTGTCTCCGAATCTTCTTGTCCTTGCCAGGATGCTGCGGTAACGTCTGCCAGACGGCAACAGAAAGAACAGTTTGTGGCTGGGGTGATGGGGGTCTTTGATAATCCGTAGTGATTTCTTCCTGAGCCGCTGGGAGTAAAGGTCCTCCATGGATGGCAGCTCCGTCCTGGTGATGTGCTGTGCAGTTTTCACCACCCTCTGTAAAGCCTTACGATCGAGGTCGGTGCAGCTGCCGTACCAGGCCGTCATGCTGCCAGTGAGGATACTCTCTATCGTGCACCTGTAGAAGTTGCAGAGTATCCTGGAATCCATTTTGAACCTCCTCAACCTGCGGAGGAAGAAGAGCCGCTGTCGAGCTTTCTTAGTGATGGTGGTGGTGTGAAGAGACCATGTCAGGTCCTCAGTGATGTGGACCCCAAGGAACCTGAAGCTTTTGACTCTCTCCACCGTAGTCCCATTGATGGCGATGGGGGCGTGTCCCTCTCCCTGCTGCTTCCTGTAGTCCACAATCAGCTCCTTTGTTTTGCTGATGTTGAGATGGAGGTTGTTCTCCTGGCACCAAGATGTCAGGTTTTCGACCTCCTCTCTGTATGCCGTCTCGTCATCGTCTGTGATCTGGCCGATGACGGTCGTGTCATCAGCAAACTTCACGATGGTGTTGGAGCTGTGTGTGGCCACGCAGTCGTGGGTGAACAGGGAGTAGAGGAGAGGGCTGAGCACGCAGCCTTGAGGGGCACCGGTGTTAAGAATCAGGGTGGAGGATGTGATGTTTCCCACCCGCACTGCCTGGGGTCTGCCCGTCAGGAAGTTCAGGATCCAGTCGCAGAGGGCGCTGTTGAGTCCGAGGTCTCTGAGCTTGATGGCCAGCTTGGAGGGCACAATGGTGTTGAATGCTGAACTGTAGTCAATGAACAGCATTCTCACATATGTGTTCCTCTTCTTCGGGTCCAGGTGTGAGAGGGCAGTGTGGAGGGTGAGGGCTATGGCGTCGTCTGTGGACCTGTTTGCTCTGTAGGCAAACTGCAGGGGGTCCAGAGATTCAGGGAGGGAGGAGGTGATGAATAATTTGACTAACCGCTCATACCATACCGCTCATACCATACCGCGCACTTTTGCCACTTCCAAGACCATTGGAGGAAACGCCCACGAAAATTGGAATCTGTTGAGGTTGTTGCCATTTATAATTGGAGACTTGATACCAGAGGCAGAGCCTGCTTGGCATGTTTTGCTTGATTTAAAAGAAATTGTTGAACTCTCTGTCGCCCCTCTTCATAATCAAGAAACTATTGCCTACCTGGACTGTAAAATCGTAGAACACAGAGATAGATTTTTGGAGCTTTTCCCGACAAAACTGTTACCAAAACATCACTATATTGAACATTATCATCAAATGATTGAACGTTTTGGACCTTTAGTTGGGCAATGGACCATGAGGTTTGAGGCAAAGCACAGTTTCTTCAAGCAAGTTGCTCGTCACACAAATTGCTTCAGGAATGTACCACTCGCATTGGCATTCAAACATCAGCAAATGATTGCATATCATATCACTGCATCCCACCTTAAATCCACATTGGAAGTTTCAAATGTTTCCATGCTTCCTGTGGATGTACTGAACCAGGAAGTAGTGTTACACCTCAGGCAAAAACACCCCACTATTAACGAGGTACATTTTGCAAAGCACGCAACCCTTAAAGGAATCTCCTACAGAGTTGGCATGCTCATTCCTTATGGCTCAACTGGTGGTCTGCCTGATTTTGCTGAAATAATCCAAATATGCATTGTTGAAAACAGTGTGAGCTTTGTTGTAAGGGTATTGTGTGCATGGTATCACGAGCACTTCAGAGCGTATGAGTTGACCATATCTCCGAATAGAGAGGTTGCCGTCGTTGATGCTGAACACCTGCTCGATGCTTATCCACTCTGTGACTACACTGTCGGTGTAAGGCGAATGGTTACCCTGAAAAGGCATATCATTGTTTAAGGTTGGTCTGAATGTGACTTAAACAGCTGTGAATGAAAGCTAAATACTCTGTTGATATGTCTTTATTTAAGGCGAGACACGGCAGGCAAAAACATCGTTTTTCCTGCACTGGTCAATTTTGAGATTTTGTGCTATTTTGATTCCATAACATGTTTTCTTTCAGGCTTTTGGAAGGAAAACGTACAAAATACACATTTAAGTGTTTATTTTACTATAGTTTGTCTATTTGCGTCTGTAGATTTCTCCTGAATTCATCAAAAGTTAGCATTCTAACGTAACATAAAGTACCGCGACCGCTGTTTGCACCATGTCTTCAGAGGTATCGTTTGAAAGCTCCGTGTCTCCTGCACAATCTCATCGGATCCAAATATGGTCATTTCCTTTGTATCAGCAACCAATCGTGAAAGTGCAAAGGGGTCTTAAACCAAGAAACGAAATCTCATTGGCTGGTGTCAATTTCTGACAACGTGATTCGTTCAGATGCGTCACATGGTGTGCTAAAGCACTTCCTGGTTAGCTTTCCGCTAGAAATTTAAATCTGAAAATGGCAAAATAACGGTGAAAAAAACGTTCACAGAGAAGACGACAACAATTGTCACTTGCACAAAGCAAGGTTATACAAAAAACAAATGACCCCGAACATGAAATACCTTCACGGAGTGCGTCGATGCGCAAGCTATCATCCAGATAACAGGAGGGTTTAGCTAGCGTCACACTGCAATCTTTAAAGGTCGTTTTCTCAAAATGAGTTTTTTCTCCTACTCTGAGTTCGAAATTTCCACTTCAGTAGCAGTTACATACACCAAACCTTCCAGTTATATTCCTATCAATATTATGAAGGCTTTTACAGAAGGGTTTGGTCATATATATAATTCATAGCCTGAATTACATAACATTTTATACCTAAAAACATGGTGAAAATTGATATTTTAGGGCTGTTGACAGTATTTTCTGATTTATGGAGTGATACAAAGAGATATCCAAAATCCCTTCTGTAAAAGCCTTAGATACTAATATGACTACAAAATGAAACAATAATTTTGATCCTAGCTTTATCCAAAGTTCAGATTTCGGTTCCTGAAATGTGTTAAAATATGCGCATATTTCATGAGATAATGAATCATTTGCATATTTAAACATGCTATTTCAGAAAACTTGTTATACAAAAAACAATTGCCTTATTGTAAGTAATTAACTGGAGAAATTTCTAGCTGATATCTTTAAGTTAAAAAAATTACCCTATTCACCTGGGGTGTCTCGCCTTAAAAGGGACAATGCACATTAACATGAACAACGTCCATCATGTAAAGGTGCCAGATTTAGCCATATGTGCCAAATTTCACCTGCAGTCGCTAGCAGGATGATTGCATTTGAGAAAACATTAGAAAGCATACAAAAACACGACATGTAAGCGTAAAACATGAGCACATGCGCATATAAAGAAGTAACAACCACTATTCCATGCCATTACAGCTATCCCTGTGTAAGCACAACACAAGCATAAAATAACAATTAATTACGTAAATGTTACAAGTTAATATTTAGTGATGGTTTAGTACTTGTCCTAACTTTGTTTCCCTGTATTTGTTTCCTAGAGTACATTGAGGGGAAAGATGTCATGTCCTGTCCACCTGCGAGTTGTTCTTGGTGTAGATGACGCGAGAAAACTTACCCTCAAGTCAGGAATGCCATCATCTGTGGATCAACTTGTCCTTGAGATAAAGACTTATTTTGGACTTGAACAAGAGTTCAGGCTCCAATACAAGGATCTCGACTTTGGAAATGAGTATTTTAATCTTGAGTCAATCAGTGACATTGAAGACAAGGCTACTGTAAAAGTGGTATTTGTTTCATGTGAAGAAACTAGCTCCAGCATAACAGAGACATCACTACCTTGCAGCACCAGCACACCAATAACTTCACCCATGACATGCAACAGCTCTGTGATCCTAGAGCTGACCTCTCTAAATGCCCTTTGTACTACATCCCCTGATGAAGACGGCTTGTCTTCTCAGCACTTATTTGACAGTGGAGACGCTGTCATTCTAGATCCAGCTCCAGAGACAAGAACCTCCTCCTGGCCACCAATCTTCTTTGTTCCCCGCTTTTCTTATTTTGCTGAATTTCAGCTCCAAAGAGCAACTGCTGATTTCAGAGCAAATGGCACTCTTCTTACCCCTTCACCTAAACTGCGAATGGATATCCTTGAAGGCATGGCTGAAGAAATATTCAAATACACAGCATATCCCAGTGATTCCCAAATCGAAGAGGCTGCTACAGTCCTGGTGCATACCCATCCATGCTTGAAGGAGAGAGGAACTCGTGCTGGCCATGAGGGATGGAAGCAGTATCTAAAAACAAAGGTTGCCAATTTCCGCACAAAACTAAACAAGATTGGACACCCTGAGGTCAGTGTAAACTCTCTCAAGAACAAGCGCAAAGGACAAGAACAAGCAGCTGCAAATATCAAAAAGCCAAGAAAGGCAGAAGTTAACTTCCTCCCACCGCTCCCTAGAGGTGAAACAAGAGACAGTCTTGAGAAAGAAAGGGTAGTGCTCCTGACCGAGGTGAAAAAGAGAAACAACGACGCTGTAGTCAAAAAGAAGATGCAGAAGACCTTCGCCTACAGACGCCAAGAGGTTGTCCAGGATGCTCCTGTGGTGGCTGAACTTGTAAACAAGTGGCCTGCCTTGTTTACAGTGAGTGAAGTGAGTATTGTTAATAATGATATTTTGATATTAATATTGCTCTGCTGATGTAGAGCTTGCTCACACTGTTTTGTGCAAGTATACTTGAAGAACATGACGTTCATTTCATTGTTTGTCTCAGATAAATGCAGAATTCATGCGAATCACAACTTTGCCACTCCAAGCCAAGTTCCTGGCAGAGCTTGACAGATACTCGCCTAACCTACTGAAGGTCTTCCACAATAGAGGAGGAGATGCTGGAAGGAAGATCCGGCTTCTCATGGCGCCGACAGCTAGGGTAAGTGCATTGTGCATTACATTACATTATTTAGCCATATGAGCATCTTTTTGCGATCCAACACTGAATTTAACAGGTTTAAAAAAATCCTTGAAAATATATAGATTTATTTTGTACAGTTCATGTAAACGGGTTAGCACTGCCACACCACCAATGAAGAGCAATCTGAAGTGCAGCTCATTTTAAAAGTTGTCCTTATTTTTACCACAGCATGAAGGTTTCTTGAGATGATAGTTTTAAAAATAGATGAACACAATCAAGTAATATTTGTATGTCCTATTAAAGGGAAGCTCAATGTAGAAAGAGTAGAGAGAAAGGTGTCCCAAGTATTTTCAGATAGAACATATTTCTAATGCACGCAAAATATTGATTTCACATTAATAATAAATCCCAATCATGTCAGTTTTCTTAAAACTATTTGGATGTTGTTTAAAGGTATTCAGTATGTTCAATCTACATAAATAAATTGTTTGTCGTATCTAAACTCAATTGCTATCGTATGTGGGTGGTTATAGGATCCTTTGTAAAGGCTAAATTAATTTTTCACAAATTTATTTATTTCAGCACGCAATGGTCAATTTGAATGTGATCACATAGCTATACACATTCAATGCTGTACATGCGTGGTCTGTTTAGCAAATTAAACTGAAATGTTATTTATCCAAAGGCTTGATCTTTTCAATACTCTTTAAATGGTGTGCTGTGCTTTTACTAATCTTTACATTAGAATTGACATTAATGCTTTTGTGACTCTCAAACACCCACACACAAACACAGTTCACACATACCAAGCGGTTTGTATATGATATGAATAAATGTAACAACATTCTGATATTAAAAACTACATTTGAGTTTAAAGCACATGCATTTTGATCAGACTTACATGTGTCAACCTTCTTCTCGCATGTTTTTTGCATTAACAATAAGTAATATACTTGTGCATACATTTTTTGTGCAAAGTCTTGGTAAAAATGTAATGTCCTTTTGAAATATTTAATATGCCTTGTTTTTATAGAGTGAGGACATTGAGCTCAAAAGAGACTCTGTCCTGAAAAGTCTGTGTGCCTATCTGAAGGAGGACAGCAACAGTCTCGTCAAGGAATACCTGGTAAGTAATTTGACTGTAACATTTTTGTATTAAAGGTACATAACAATGTGTTAAGTGTATAATGGCTTAAATATAAGTTTTTTATTACCCTAGAATTATCATTTATTTTGTCTACATAGGAGTGGGTATGTGCCACCATGTTTCTACAGTAGCACAGAACGGACAAACTTAATGGCCATACACGTTTTTATACATAGTAGGTGCCTGCTAGAAAAGCCTTAGTTATTGAGCTATAACATAGTACTATAGATAAATAACGAAGTCCATCTTCAGCACACTTGATACTGAAAGGCTTGAGGTAGTGGTGGATGATGCCATCTTCAGTTACTAAATTACTGTCCTTGAAGGCCACCATACTTTCTGAACATTTTCTCAAAGGGAGGGTGGAGTAAGGGAGCTTTGCTATCGCCAATATTACACACTGAACCTTTTAAACTTACTAGGTCTACTTTTTCAAAATAGTCAATGATCTTGTCTTCCACCTTTTTTTTAGAATGTCAGGAGTGAGGAAGCCGAGAGTGCAATCCCACAGACTACCATGGGACTTTATGTGATCCGCAATGAGGGCGCTCAGGAAGAGGACGGGCCAGAGGATGTCGGAGTGATCATCGAAGGTGTGGAACTGCTATCCAATCTGCGAAGTATTTCGCTAGGATGGGCCATGCTTTTTGGGTTGATTTACACTCTCAACTTGAGCTATCCACAGGAACTCAAGTTCACTTTCGAGTTTTTACAGAAAGTGTTGATGAACTTGGATGGCAACAAGCTGTCACCAAAGGTCCAAAGCCTGAAAATCAAGATGCTTCAGTGAGCCCATAATTTCAGGGCTGGACAATCAAGCTGTGACAATAATTGTTCTTGTTGGACAATATACGTTTGATTACTACATACTACTTAAGGCGGTTGAAGTATATTATATATTAAACTCTGGGACAGTTATTTTTTGGCACATTCATTTTGTTTGAACTTTAATGGACCATTTTGGTGGAGAAAACTGTTCTTAAACATGTCAATTTTTCGATGACATTGCATAATCTTTTGTTGTTGCAATAGATGAGAACGAGCGATGGAGATCCCTTTTTTTTTTATCGCCATAAACATCTCATGGACTCGCCACTTAAAAAGCTACAATGCGTGAGATTCCTCTGTGAAAGTTAGTCTGGAAATGTTTACAATGGACAAATGTGATGTTCTTAAAAGTTGCAAGGTGTTGAATTTGAACATTTCTGTGTTAATACCTAATAGAGTGGCGCAGTGATGATGTATTTGTGTAGGCCGACCCTGAAGTAAGCTGCGCAAGGGTTCCCTCGACAAAAAAGCAATGGGATTTCTCTGTGGGTCTGTGGAAAACGAACCCGTTTGATAAATGCACATTTTGTTCAGCCGGATAATCTCCACGTCTACCTACTTTTATAATAAAAATTATAATAATTGCAATTATAATAATTAAAATTATAAAAGTTGAGCAAAAAAAAAAACTTATCTTAGAAGTGGCTATAACATTTGATGCAATTCTAAAAGATAGTCAGATTCCTAAAAAGTTACAAACGGATGCTGGAAAATAATTATTTAACAAGATTTTTGAAGCCTTGCTGAAGAAACAAATAATTATTTTCCAGCATCCGTTTGTAACTTTTTAGGAATCTGACTATCTTTTAGAATTGCATCAAATGTTATAGCCACTTCTAAGATACGTTTTTTTTTTTTTTTAAATGTTTTTCTCTCATCCTGCTATATTCCTTCCAGGGGAGGATCCCTGGGGATTGATCAGAGCAATGAAAGGCTGTAAACATTGACACTCTGATACACAAAACACTGAAACACTGAAACACTGAAGCACAAAAACACTGAAACACTGAAACACAAAAAACACTGAAAACACTGAAACACATAAACACTGAAACACTGAAACACTGACACTGAAATACTGACACACAAAACACTGAAACACTGCAACACTGACACACTGACACCCAAAACACTGAAACACTGCAACACTGCAACACTGAAACACTGAAACACTGACACACAGAAACACTGAAACACAAAACACTGAAAACACTGAAACACTGCAACACTGAAACACTGACACACTGAAAACACTGACACACAAAAAACACTGAAACACAAAAAACACTGAAACACTGAAACACAAAACACTGAAAACACTGAAACACTGTAACACAAAAAACACAGAAACACAGAAACACAGAAACACAAAAACACAAAAACACTGAAACACTGAAACACAAAACACTGAAACACAAACACACTGAAACACTGAGACACTGACACACTGAAACACTGAAACACAAAACACTGAAAACACTGAAAACACTGAAACACTGAAACACTGACACACTGAAATACTGACACACAAAACACTGAAACACTGACACACTGAAATACTGACACACAAAACACTGAAACACTGCAACACTGCAACACTGACACACTGACACCCAAAACACTGAAACACTGCAACACTGAAACACAGAACACTGAAATACTGAAACACTGAAACAATGCAACACTGACACACTGACACACAAAACACAGAACACAGAAAACTATTAAACAGCCCTGCTATATACTATGACCATTCTTTACTTATTTATAATATGGTTCAAATGGAGTAATTTGAGTTGTCTGATGCACTTGATACAATTTTACTTTTTTTAAATACTGATGTGTTTATTCAAAACCATTTCAACACACAATGTCATGACTTTTTCAAGATCTTTTTGTCAAACTATACTATGACTTGACTAATGTTACAGAATGTTTCGGAAAATGAAGATTCCTGTACCACTTTAAATGTTTCGTTTGTAATCGTTTCCCCATGACCCGGAATAGTACTGCCAGAATGAACGATATCCAAAATGTCTTCTAGTTTACAAACTTCAGCCATTCTGTTTACACGGGGGTCACTACTCATTCTGTTTTCAATCGTCATCAACAACACACTTATTAAACAGGTATTGACTGCATTCTGATAAATATATACAGATTGTTTTCCATAGTAGTTATCCCTTTTTTTTTTTTTTATTTTACTTTAAGGCGAGACACCCCAGGTGAATAGGGTAATTTTTTTAACTTAAAGATATCAGCTAAAAATGACTCCAGTTAATTACTTACAATAAGGCAATTGTTTTTTGTATTACAAGTTTTCTGAAATAGCATGTTTAAATATGCAAATGAACCATTATCTCATGAAATATGCGCATATTTTAACACATTTCAGGAACCGAAATCTGAACTTTGGATAAAGCCAGGATCAAAATTATTGTTTCATTTTGTAGTCATATTAGTATCTAAGGCTTTTACAGAAGGGATTTTGGATATCTCTTTGTATCACTCCATAAATCAGAAAATACTGTCAACAGCCCTAAAATATCAATTTTCACCATGTTTTTAGGTATAAAATGTTATATAATTCAGGCTATGAATTATATATGACCAAACCCTTCTGTAAAAGCCTTCATAATATTGATAGGAATATAACTGGAAGGTTTGGTGTATGTAACTGCTACTGAAGTGGAAATTTCGAACTCAGAGTAGGAGAAAAAACTCATTTTGAGAAAACGACCTTTAAAGATTGCAGTGTGACGCTAGCTAAACCCTCCTGTTATCTGGATGATAGCTTGCGCATCGACGCACTCCGTGAAGGTATTTCATGTTCGGGGTCATTTGTTTTTTGTATAACCTTGCAAGTGACAATTGTTGTCGTCTTCTCTGTGAATGTTTTTTTCTCCGTTATTTTGCCATTTTCAGATTTAAATTTCTAGCGGAAAGCTAACCAGGAAGTGCTTTAGCACACCACGTGACGCATCTGAATGAATCACGTTGTCAGAAATTGACACCAGCCAATGAGATTTCGTTTCTTAGTTTAAGACCCCTTTGCACTTTCACGATTGGTTGCTGATACAAAGGAAATGACCATATTTGGATCCGATGAGATTGTGCAGGAGAAACGGAGCTTTCCAACGATACCTCTGAAGACATGGTGCAAACAGCGGTCGCAGTACTTTATGTTACGTTAGAATGCTAACTTTTGGTGAATGTAGGAGAAATCTACAGACGCAAATAGACAAACTATAGTAAAATAAACACTTAAATGTGTATTTTGTACGTTTTCCTTCCAAAAGCCTGAAAGAAAACATGTTATGGAATCAAAATAGCACAAAATCTCAAAATTGACCAGTGCAGGAAAAACTATGTTTTTGCCTGCCGTGTCTCGCCTTAAAGAAAAGTCAAAGTATCGGAAAAAAAATAAAATAAAAATCCCTGGCTTCAATCAACCGCTGGTTATTAGTCTTCTTCTTCTCCATCCAGCTCGGCATGGATCTTTTCAAGTCTCTCCTTGAGGCGTCTGCAGTTTTTGAGATTGTGCATAAAAGCCTCCGAAGCGCCTTGGATCCTCCATTCAGCCGTGTAAATGTTTTTATCATTAAGCCTCTGGTCAATCACAGTAATGAAGTCGGGGAGCCAAAGTCTTTTCATTAACGCGTTGTAATTGTTTCTGAAGACATATTCTGGAATGTCATTCAGACAATCGTGTTGCCTCTGGCTGGGGTGGCTGACTCGACATCCATTGCAGATTTCTTCTCTGTACCGATGCAGCACCCTCTCCAGAATATCAACCAACTCCGATTTCACTATGTTCAGAAACAGAGACGTCTTGGCCCCAGGAGTAACATCAGCAGCAGTAGTACTGCAATATGTGGGTGTCCACAATGGTGGTGACGATAGTAGTCCAGTAGTTTGTTGTATATTCAAAAATATAATGGAGAGGAAAAAAAATATATATATATATATATATATCACAGTATGTTGAAAAATATGAAAAAAGTAATGTTGTGTTAAAATAATATGAAAGAAAAAGTACTTAACTTTCTACCAGTTGTAAAGTTGTCATACATAAAACTGTATCAAAACAGTAAGTGAAAGACAACGGGGGAAAAATAGAAGTGTTAAAATCACCAACTTCCCTTTTAGAGTCACAGTCTTTAAGAAAATACATTTTTGTTACAAAATAATTGACATTCTACCAGTTGCCAAATGTTCCTACATAAAAGTGTATCAACAAAAAATATCTTGGTAGCTGAAAATAACTAGAATATCAGAGAAAACCTACATTATTTAACTGTACAAGTGTTTTTTAGAAATAAAAAAAAGGGGTATTAAAGAAACCCCCATTCCCTTACAAAGTACTTCATATTATACCCCTTTGTTAAGTGTTGCATACATAAAAGTGTATCTAAAAAGTATCTTGGTAACACATGAAAAGAGAAAAAAAAAGTCAAAATCTGCCTTGTGTCAGTAAATAAGTGTTAAAAATCACAAACTTGCCTTTTAGAGAAACAGTCTTTACGAAAAAATCTAATCAGACAATGTACTTCATTTTCTAGTTTTAAGGTTTTGCATACCTCGGAGTGTGTCTAAAAGTATCTTGGCAAGAGAAAAAAGCCATAATGTGCCTTGTGTCAGTGAATAAGTGTTAAAATCACCAACTTCCCTTTTAGAGTCACAGTCTTTAAGAAAATACATTTTTGTTACAAAATAATTGACATTCTACCAGTTGCCAAATGTTCCTACATAAAAGTGTATCAACAAAAGTATCTTGGTAGCTGAAAATAACTAGAATATCAGAGAAAAACCTACATTATTTAACTGTACAAGTGTTTTTTAGAAATAAAAAAAGGGGTATTAAAGAAACCCCCATTCCCTTACAAAGTACTTCATATTATACCCCTTTGTTAAGTGTTGCATACATAAAAGTGTATCTAAAAAGTATCTTGGTAACACATGAAAAGAGAAAAAAGTCAAAATCTGCCTTGTGTCAGTAAATAAGTGTTAAAAATCACAAACTTGCCTTTTAGAGAAACAGTCTTTACGAAAAAATCTAATCAGACAATGTACTTCATTTTCTAGTTTTAAGGTTTTGCATACCTCAGAGTGTGTCTAAAAGTATCTTGGCAAGAGAAAAAAAGCCATAATCTGCCTTGTGTCAGTGAATAAGTGTTAAAATCACAAACTTATAGATAAGCTAGAGGCTATTTTAGATTTGTCAATTAGAGTTAAAGGGTTAAATAACATTTTCAAACTGCTGTTCATAGTTACTGGATACATAACGAGCCTCATCATTATCTCGATTTTCTACTTCCATTTTTATTTAACAGTGAAACGTCTTATTTTAGTACAGTCTAGTCAGAGGAGTTAATACTATTACTATATATGAAAGCAAAAATAAAACACATTTTCATTTGTTATGGTTGTTTAATTGAAAAACACACCATTCGCCACATCTTCGGAAAGACATATTACATTTGACCAAGTTAATGTCGTAGTGCATACAAGGTAATAGACTTAACGATTTGCACTGCTGCCTCTCTCCGCGTTTCATTTACAGTGATCGGTTTATCGTTCAATTCACATTGCCCAACTAGATGTTTAGGGGTCTCTTGGAAGTAAATGAATGCATTTTTTATATCAGATAAGTGCATTAACATCACTTGCAAATTCTCTATCCTTTCACCCGCAACGATTATAATCTGCTTTGCTTCTTCTTCGGTTTCACCATTATTAGCTCTGAATGTAATCCTTTCTGGGGCTTCTTGTGCTTCTTGTGGTCTGTTGAATACCTGGCATAGGATTTGTTTAGCTGTAAGGACGGGTACCACATAATTGTCTTCAAAAGCTGGAAATTCTTACAAGTTCCCCCTCCTCAAAGTTCATTCCCGTAGCACCTTTCCCCCACTGATGCTAGTGACCCCCCTTTGTATGCTAATTACCTCTTTGTTCGAGGCGTTATCATATGTAGGTGTGTTCAGTTAAACACTGAGATTTTCAACATACTACTCTACAAAATGATTTTTTCATATTCTTTTGACAAACTATACTTGACTTTTTTACGGAAAATCATGACACACTTTAATGTGACTTATTCTTAATTTTACCATACTAAAGTAAGACTTGAAAATACTATATCGTTTTCTAGTTTTTTATATTATACATCCTTATTTATGTTAGTGTGCTGAGAAAACACAATAAGCAATAGCGTTTTAACAAGCAGTTTAAACTGTCTGTGTCAGTTTTACTTATCTCCATATTAAGTGATTATATAATATGACAGTGATCATTTCTATGTTTATTCATTGCAAATACTTAGTTACTTACCACTTGAACTGTTTAGCTCTTCAAGGTTAACTGACCTAATATATATACTTTTTTGTAGTATTGTCACCACGTTCTTAAGAATTATATGGACAAGTTGGCAGCTGCCATGGCTGGACTGTCAATCAAAAGTTACCAGTTATCAAGCGATGGTATGGACAACTTAACAGCTGACTTGGCTAGACTTACTATGAGGAGTCAGCAGGTAACAGATGAGTGTGTGAATGAAATAACAGCTGCCTTCAGAGGACTCTCCACTAATGCACAGCAGCTTCCTGTTAGTGCCTGCACTGAGAATCCTCAAATACAGAGACAAGTCACTTTGTCCACGCTCCCTGAGACCCTCAAGCCCACTAATGCCTAGGTGAATAATATTGACTTGTGTTAGTTTTACTTAAACTTACTTACATTAAGTGATCATAATATGACAGTGATAACTTCTATGTTTATGCATTGCAAATACTTAATTATTTTTTGTTAGTTCTACACCTCTCTTTATCCGCTCTCCAAGCCTCCAAGGGCGGACTCCTGAGGTCCGTAATGCCCCCCCTAACATGACACTTAGACTATTTACATCATCTAGGGAAGCACACCAGTAAATGTAGCCTCATTTAACTTCATATAGGGATTCTTTAATAGTTGTGTGAAGTAGTTAAACAATAAGGGGGTAATAAGATCTTTAAATTATAATTTTCCTCTCAAAGAGACTTCGTTGTACACACACACACACAAACAAAACAACATTAAATAATGACATGATATTATAGTGATAACACATAATGTGTAGAAAGAGATGTCCTGTATGGGTTGATTGCGCGTTGATCTGTTGGTAAAATGCTCATCTATCATTTTCAACCAAGCAGTATGAGGTCAAATTTAATAAGTAATAGTTTGTCACGATTTTACGGGAAAAAGTCTGAGCGCAATGTCACATCTTAAAGACAGCTTGAACTGGATAGATGGTTAGTCTTTTTTCAAAACATACCATATGTTCTGCATGTTAGTATATTTGGCCAAATCGGGTTAGGCCCTACTGCCCCACTCCCCCAATAGGGAAGTCACGCTTTGAGAAGAGGTGTTTAATTTCACAGATCTGACTTGATGTGATGGCTGAAGTAATAGGGACGGGGGAGGAAAATTCAGGGGTGAAGAAGCAGAAAGATAACTTGTTTGTAAAACGGACAGCACTTCAGTTTCAGGAAAGATGACACATATAACTTCATATAGGGATTATTTTATTAGTGGATTTGATGTAATTAAACATAAAGAAAAAAACCAAAACGCCATGGGGTCATTAAGATCTTTAATTTATTGCCAACCTCTTCAGAGAGACTTTGTTGCATTTATTACCAGATTACCCCTCCTTTCAACAAAGAGAGGCCCTTATAGTTAGTATAGTAATTAAACATTAGTTCACCATCCGTACACTTCAAGAGAGCCTCCTTAGTTATTAACCCAACTCTTATTTAAAAAGAAAAAGGCGGGGTAGGAGGGGAATACGGGTATGGGTGTGTGTGTGTGTGTGTGTGTGTGTGTGTGTGTGTGTGTGTGTGTGTGTGTGTGTGTGTGTGTGTGTGTGTGTGTGTGTGTGTGTGTGTGTGTGTGTGTGTGTGTGTGTGTGTGTGTGTGTGTGTGTGTGTGTGTGTGGATGGAAATCTCTCCGGCCAGAGTGATATCCCCTTTAGCGCAATACCGCATCAGTTGCACCTCTTATGTGACATACAAGAATAGTGTGTGACAGACAAAAGATGTCCTATAGGGGCTGATTATGCATGGACATAAACGCTAGTAACGTCTAATCTGACGGGGGATACCCGCTGTTGCTGACGGAGGGAGACCCCGGTGCTGCGGACTATTCGACATGCATCTCTGCATGCGGTGAGCGGAACAAAACACACTCGTAGATAACACACGTAGCTATTTTAATTACCTCTCAAACTACCTAAACTAGTTAAAGTTTGTTTTAGTTTTACTGTCGAGTCACTCATTATTGGACCCGCGAGCTGCATGATACTGGCGTGTTGTCAGGAGGGGGGAGAGCAGTCCGTTTATTATTCCCGTGTTATTGTAAATTACTGTACACGTTTTGAATAGTTAATTAATCTACTATAACTAGTTGGTTTAATATCGAATCATATCAGTTTGTTTCAAAGCTCATTAAATAACATAGAAGACCTTTAGCCGGCACTTTTCTAATTTTGCCACGGAAGATTTAAACTGTAACGAACATGCTGACCAGACAGGAGGGGGGAGGAGGAGGGGGTTGAGAGGGGTGGGGGCTGAGGAGGGGATGGGGGGCGACAGGGAGGATGTGAAACCTGCTGTAAGGAGGGGGTGGTTGAGAGGGGTGGGGGCTGAGCGGGGTGGGGGGCTACCTGAGAGGATGTAACACCTGTATGTGAGGGGGAGGGGGGTGGGCTGAGGGGGGTGGGGGCTACCGGTGAGGATGTAACACCTGTACGCGATAACACCTCGAACAAAGGGGCTCATTAGCATATCAAAGGGGGGTCATTAACATAATTAGGGGGCGGGACTTAGAAGGTGTGACCTGTCACTTTTTTATGCATACTAATGAGATTGAAGCGGGATATGTACTACTACTTATAAGCAATCAGGCTTAAGTTACAGTAAATGCTTGGACAGAATATGCACTGCCTTGTTGGTTGAAGTCATGAAGACTAAAACATTGCCAAAAGTCTTAAAGGTCTCCTATCATGCAAAATGCACTTTTTGATGTATTTCATACATAAATATGTGTCCGAGGTGTGTAAGGGAACTCACCAAGTGTCAGACAACCAGCAGCTACTGACCCAGAATCAGCACTTCTCTAACAGGGCTGAAAAAGAGGGATATGAGGGATGTCTAAAATGCATGATCTGTTTGGTATTTTGAGCAAAACACATCATAGACATGTTTTTTATATATTTTCATATATCTGAGACCCATAATATATGCCTAAAAATAGCATAATAGGAGACCTTTAAGACCTGAGAATGGTTAGAAACGTAATTGTTATAATCAGTGTAGAAAATGTAAATGTGACATTTATCTTTTACCCACAGTTTGTGTGTCTGGAAGGCCTGGTGACAGCCATATCAGACATGTGTCCATCCTTCTTTCTCATTGGTCATCGACGTAAACTACTTCTGTTGATCATCTGTGGTGTTTCCTTTGTTATTGGCCTGTTTATGGTGACTGAGGTGAGAGTCTACTTTTTTAATCTATAACATTAAGAATTAAAGGCTGTACCATTAAGTCTCTCTTTCCGTGCTAAATATCTTGTGCATTTAACAAAACAATCTATTTTGTGTTCCTGTTTCTGTCTTCTCTGTCATGTGCTGTAGGGAGGACTTTATGTATTTCTGCTGTTTGATTACTATGCTTGCAGTGGAATACCATTAATGATTTTTGCCATTTTGGAGTGCGTCTGTGTGGGATGGATATATGGTAAGCAACAAGATCATTTTAAGCAAGGAAAATTAGGAGTCCAACAGACATACAGTATATATATGTTAAGTAATGTTAGCCCCTAAAACTATACCATTATGAATAACAGTGATACTGTAAAATATTACAAATCATGTTAACAAAACATTGTATTGACATTTGCTAATTTTACTCACTTATCAAGTTTTTTTTCATCTGCACTGCATAAGTAACCAGAGGGCACTGCTAAAGCCATTAAAACATTTGAACAACTGCCTGGAGGGCAGAACATTTCCCGCCTATCTGTGAGGCCAGTACTATCTTACACATTAACTTAGCTTTCATTCCTCTTGGACCAAAAGAAGAAAGACTTGAGACCGTTCTCAGGAATGTAATGGACTCAGTAGTAGTGCTGAAATTCTTCCCCCTTGTCCTTATGAGCACGTGGCCAGGCATCAGACCTTGCCCTGTTATATCGTGATGTAGATGAATCCCAGTGTTTGATCATATTCTTGAATGACTCCCTGACTACAAGGTGCTGATCGTTATTATGACAATATAAAGGAAATGATTGGCTACTACCCCACATCGCTTATGAAATATTGTTGGAAGTTCATCACACCATGTCTCTGTGTTGTAAGTAAATGTATTGAGTATTGGTGTATCTAATTTTCAAAGATCCCATGACATGATTTTCCGGTTATTACCCGTCCCCTTGTGTGTTATGCATCTTTTTATGCATGTAAACGGTCTGCAAAGTCACAAACCCTCAAAGTACACCCTGTAGCGAGTACAACTCTAACGCAGAAAATACCTGTCTGTGCTGCCCCAGAACGCCTCGTTGGAGATTTTTCTTTTTCCATTTTTTTCTTCCCGAGTATAGTGACGTAACGGTCATAGTGACGTAATGCAGCTCCACGGATTTCCGCAGGCTGTGAGTGTGTGTGTGTGCTCAGGCTGAGTTCCGCGGTGTCTCGCTGTCTCGCAGACCCCACGCAGCAACCAGGAAACGACACCAGTAATCCAGCTCACACCGGCCGCTCCTCGAGCCTCAAAGGGCGCAGCAGCTCGCCCCGCAACGTCCTGCCAACACGGCACCCAGACCCCACGCAGCATTCTCATCTGTTTGTCATTACTGGTGTCATTTTCTGGTTGCTAACAAACGCCATTGTAACACATAACACTGATGTTCCGCTGTAACGGTGGTGGACTCATCAGAACAGAGTGGGCGAGCTGACCAATCAGAGCACAGTAGGCTCATAGGGAGGGGGGGGGGGCAGGAGCTCCAACAAGCCGTTTAGGACAGAGAGTGAATACACATACTATACAGAGATGCTGTATGAGAAACCAATGTGATTTTGGAACATTGAACAATGTAAATCTATTCTAGTAGACCTCAACAATGGAATTATGATCAGTAGAAATGGCCATGTCATGGGACCTTTAAGACATTCACCGGAAAAATATCAAAATGACAATAAGACAAATATAAATATATATATATATATCCATTGATGAAAATGTAAGCTGCTCCTCTGATTTTCTTTTTATTCCACTTGTTTTGTCATAGGGAACACTGATATTCTCTCTGGTCAAGTTCACCCCGCTGAAATACAACAACACCTACGAGTACCCCTGGTGGGGCTTTGCCATTGGGATGGTTCTTGCTTTATCTTCAGTTCTCCTGACTCCTCTGTGGATTATCTATCGTATGGCTGTAACCCCGGGAACACTGAGACAGGTAAGGTTAAGGTTAAGGTTAGTTTATTTATATAGCACATTTTCAGATACAAAGGCACGTAAAAACTATATGCAGCATCGGCATGTTTGGTTCTGATCCAGGGAACAATGAGTAAGCCCGTCCCCAAAGATCTGAGAGCTCTGGGTGGCTCGTAACAGAGCAGCATGTCCAATTTATATTAGGGTCCCAAACCAATTAGTGCTTTATAAGTTAGTAATACAATTTTAAAATCGATTATGTAAGTTATTGGTAGCCAGTGCAGAGATCTAAGAACTGGGGTGATGTGTTCTACTCTTCTGGTTTTTGTCAGGACTCTGGCCGCAGCGTTCTGGATCAGTTGTAGTTTTCTGAGTGATTTATTACAGAGACCTGCTTAACAGTCTAGGTTTAGGTTTATTTCATTAAGGTCTACTTCGATACTCTGTCGATATATACAGTATGTTATATGTGAATGGACTGACCGAAATTTGAATCATTACAGAAGCTAACTTGGTGGATTTCAGTGGGTACTGTTATGTTGTAGTTTATGCTTTGTAGGCAATTATCTGGCAATTTATTTTCTTTCCATAGAGACTGAAAACGTTATGCACTCCTGCATCCGATCTGCAATCTTCTCCACCAAAGAAGACTCTTTACCCTGAAACCCCTACTCCTGATACAGAGCTGCATGCTTTAACTTAAAAACTAAAACATGGCAGTACTGAAGGTAAGCCACCTTTAATCAGAGACAACAGTGATTGATGTTCTCAGATTAAACCACCAGTTCAGTTGGGGACTGAACATTTTAGCTTTTATTGTTTCTTAGTACACTTACGCTTCTAATGTACTATGCTGACACTCATCTAAACACAACTTGAACACTGGGACAGTAAAATAACCATCCTGCAATTTGAGTTGATCCACACATGATGATCGAATTTCGATTTTGCATGCCCATGTTATGTCTTACAGTATATATTTATTGACGCTTAAGCATAGAGCTAGTGAATGAAAAAACAGAATTATTTTGTTCCTACCCTGGGATCAGTGTTATATAATTTTGTTCTGATTATTAAACACCCTGAAACTGAAATTCCAGTACATGTAGTAAATTAATTGACCAGTGTAGTAACAATTGCTTTGTATCTCCATCCTCACAGAAACTGATTGGATTTGTAATCCCTTATTAGCTGATGAATGCATCACCAAAGAAGAGTCTACAGCCAGTTACAAACTCAACGCAGGAGATCTTTACATCCTTGGTGTCTGAATGTTCTTATTTTAAAAAGTCCAACCCTTGACTTAAAATGAATACTTTATGGACAGCTGTGTTAAAAAGTTACAATTGTAAAAAGACCTTATCATCTTATATAACTTTTGGTGGTGGATATTATTACTTGAATTGTTCCTTTTAAACTATACGGGTTTTGGTTGTGCAAATAAATGAATCTTGATTGAAACTCCATGTTAACTTTGCCATCGACTTCTATGTAATCAATAACCCCTCAGTATACCCATGCTGTTTTTTTATCCAAAGTGTTACCCAAAATGATCGTATACTGCATTTAATAAAGTGACAAATAAAGGAAAGACAATATGGTGCAGTAAACAAATCAATCCCAAATTGATTTGGTGTAGAAATGATCATAATACATCATAAAGTAGACACCTACAAAGCATGCTTAACGAGAGGGTCTCCATGTTTAAAGACGGTCGGGTGGTTTGAGGACACCGCCTCAGCCCCCTGGCACTGAGGACAGCTCGCTACGGAAAGCAGCGAGGTCTGGGCGGCAGGGTGCTGTAAAAGGTCGAGGCAGAAAGCCACCTTCACCAAGCCTACCAACCATAGAATGCTCATGCTATAGGCATTGGGATGCAGCCAAAAGGAAATCCTTTTCTTTAATCCTTTTCTTTAATGTTAAAACTGTTTAAAAAGCGACTAATCATGTTTGAGGGAAGACATTACAGGTGAATATAGTAAGGTTTAAAGAATACATTTCACCAAAAAGCTAACCCAGTGGATCATTTACAATTAGACAATTATTTCTTTATATTATACTACGTTTTATAAAATGTCATGTTTGAATATTCAAATAAGGCATTAGCTCATTGAATGTGTGCTAATTAGCGTATATTTCCATAACTGAAATCTGAACATTTAATAAAGCCAAGATCAAAATTGCTGTATCAATCCATTGAGATAATTACTTAATATACTGCTGATAGTAATGAATCATACAGTATATTTGATTCGTTCATAAAATGTTTATATTTGTTGATAAAATGCTGATATTCTAAATCTGCTATATTCTAAAAGTAACTAGTGATGTTTTCAAGGCAAATGCTTGTAAATCATGCCAAAGGGAAAATGTATCACAGTCTGTCTGTTTTCCTGTTTTATTTTGACATTTATTTTCTCTTGGTGTCTTACTTCCTGTGATTTACCTCCTGTGCCTGATGGTCTCATTATGTTCACCTGCTGCCCCTGTGTTTGCCACCATTTTTCAAGAGGGCCGCCACTGATGGCTTGAGAATATCATTTATTTGCTATAAAATCTCTTTCACTTGCCCTATATAAATGATTTTGGGGTCAAATCACACTTTTTGGACCACGTAGAAACTGGATTAAAAACAAAAATGGTATTATTATTAAAGCTTAGCAACAGAGTCGACAAAGTTTCACCCCCTCATATTTATTTATTTATATGAGTCTTAAAAAATAATTAAAATACCAATTTCATTGTAACTATATTGTGCGATATGCAGACTGATCACTAGAGGGCGATCGCGCTCGGGTGGAACCAAAAACTCTATAAAGGCAGGCGCTGCAGAATAAACACTGCAGTCAAACTCAACACAAAGAAACATCTTCTGTCTCTTCGTGTTCTTAAACAGGTAGGTTTAAAGTCCTTAAAATCTCACAATTGTAGCCCAGTATAATGAATAACAGTGTTACGAATATATGATAAATGATAAAAACTGATCCAGATTTGAACACTGTCCTGACGTCAGGACGGTGGCGCTACTCAATGGATTTTGAGTAATCCTCTGTCAATGTCGGTGCATCCTGCATAGCACTGGTGACGTGACGTGACGTGATTCAAGATGGCGCCTGTGTCGGCTCGCCGCTCCCTCAGCTCTCTACCTTTAGCTATCCTGTTTTTGTTTTATGTTTGTCAGAATGTCTCTGCTCTGCTCGTTTATGATCGCCAAGCTCTCCTCCACCTCAGACCCTCACTGGAGTTGATATTGCTGCTGTTGATAAATTGTGATCTTCTCGCTCCCAGGAAAGAAACTTAAAATAATGAGACTAATGGAGTCTCTTAAAAGGTTCAAATTGGTACTTTAATTAAGTAACGTGGTTAAAGAACAAGCATAAGGTAAGGAAGAGACAAAAGCCGGTGTTGTCTCTGGGGGGGGCTGCAGCGTAGGAAAGAGGCCGGGTTGTACTTTCCGATCTCCTTTATACTTTTCTTGTTCTCTCCCGCTGTGCAGATAGGGGGACCGCCCTCCTCCTCTGCATGGTTCGACATCGCGTGAAACAGAGGATTTCGACATTCTGTATTCCCTGCCTACTTCCTTAAGCCTTTTCTCCTCCTTATCTCTGTCATGACTTTCTATTTAATACCTTATAAACAGCTGTAATAGTTAGTTTAGAAATCCTAGAAACACCTCTACGGCACAGTTCTCATTTACGGTAACTCCCTCTGACGTCATAGCTACTCACGTATGTGAAAACACTCTACGATCAACTGTACCTTCATTTCATATTCAGCAGTAATAATATCTCGACGTCTATAGATGTAGTGTTAAAGTCCGTAGGTTTTGGTGTGCAACACTCCATGTCATTTTCACTTTACATTCAGATAACGTATTATTATTAGCCACATGCTAACTGCTAACCGGATATGAAGGATTTTCAGAATAAAAGCTTGGCATTGAGATTTCCTGAGAACTTCCGGGTTTTTTCACAATAAAACAGCTTTTAAACTGACGATATGTTTTAGACTAAATTACGCTATTAAACATTGATTTTAATTTCTAACACTGCCCAAACCTACATCTGGCAACCATAAATCGTCCCCCCCCCTCTACTGTCGAATATTCCCACCTACCTGCGCCGGTTGCCCTGCATCCTGCCTCGCCGAAAGCGCTTTAGACAATGGGGAAAGCGTGGTGGTGCACTGGTCCATCTTAAGGCATACCTGACGGCTTCTTCTGGGACTTATCCACGCCTCGGATGTCATGGCCCTCCCGCTGCACGCCATGTGAGGGATCGGTGGATTCGCCCTGTTTTTCCGGAGCTGCGGACTCTGCTGTGCCCGCTGGCAGCTCCTCCTGCCCGACTGACTGCTCCCGGCCCGCGCGGCGTTCAACACGCACATCTTCGTCAGCTGAGACGCACTACACCTTCGGCAAGCCCGGAGCGAAAACTTTGCATGGCTTTGCTAAATGCTAGGTCGATAGCAAACAAAACGTTCCTGCTAAACGACTTCTTCACCTCTCGTGAACTGGATTTTATGTTCCTGACGGAGACCTGGGTCCACGCTGGCGAGTATACACCGTTCTCTGAACTTCTTCCTCCTGACTGTACATTCTTCAGCTCCCCCCGTGCCACCGGCCATGGTGGGGGCATAGCATAAGTGTTTAGAGCTAGCCTCCAATGCCGATTGCTTCACCCTGTAACTAGCTATGCTAGCTTTGAGTTGCAGCTTTTTTAACTGAACCCGGCCTCGCCTATACTCTGCGCAGTCGTGTATCGTCCGCCAAAGTGCAATAAGGATTTCATAAATGACTTTTCTGACTTCCTGTCCGGGATCATGGTGAAATATGATCGTGTTTTGATCTCCGGAGACTTCAATGTCCATGTGTGTTGCGAGTCCAAACCTCTGGTTAGGGACTTTTTAAATCTCCTTGATTCTGTTGGTCTCGTTCAGTCCGTGGCTGGCCCAACACACGAAAAAGGACACACTTTGGACTTAGTATTATCGTTTGGACTGTCTGTATCTGTGGATGAAATATGTGCAGCAACGCGTATCTCAGACCATTTACCGGTTCTGTTTACAACCTCCATCACTTCCGCAGGAGTCGAATCACGTGCCCCGGCGCGTCGTCTGCGTTCGATTAACCCCTTGACTGCCTCACAGTTCTCTGATGTTTTTAATGCTTCTCCGATCTGTAAATTAGATGTGAACTGTGCTTTTAATGCTGATGAGCTTACCTTCTGCCTCCGTTGCTGGCTGTAGTCGGCTGCCCTCACTCAGCCATCAAAGTGCCGGGTGGCTATTGCTATCTGCTACATCGTCTACTTGTCTGTCTCCATCCCACGCAACAACCGTGGACTCTCTCTGCCTCCTGTCTTCATCTCTGGGGTGCATCTGACCCGTCCCGCTGTTCACATCCTCCTGCCATGTCGTGGATCTTCCTCGTCTCCACAACAATCCTCCACCTCTGTGCACCTAGCCTGCTAGCCGCTATCGCTGCTAACACACTGCTCCCAGCCTTTCCGCCTGTCATCATGCTGAAATACTCCATCTCACAGCTTCTGTCATTCACCAACTCCTCCACCCCGTCTTCCATCTCAGTCATCAGACATCTTGGACTCCTTCGTCGACCCCGCTACATTCACTGAAGCACCCGCCGCAGTTTTGTTTACTTTCAGCACGGACAATCCATACCATCCATCTGCTCTACCCAACGCACACCTGACGCGTCATCAGAATGCAACTCCTACTGCTCCTCTTACACTCTCCCCTGCTCACCTACACTCCCAGCTGCATGAAATACCCGGAGCGGATCCCACTCCCCTCCGCCTCCCAACACATATAACAAGCCATTTCTCCCCACCATCAAGCCCCCCTCGTCTGCCCCACAGCCTCCCCTCTCGTGCCCACACCCGCGCTGCTAACCTAGACAACCTCATACCTCTCCAGTCTGCCACCACCCCTCCAACCCCCCACTTGACCAATCTTGCCCTCCTCAATATCCGGTCACTCAACAATAAAGCCCACATCCTCCACAAACTTATTTTGGACAAATCCATCGACTTCCTTCTGCTCACTGAAACCTGGCAACAACCCAATGACTTCTTCTCCCTCAATCAAACATCCCCCTCTGGTTTTAATTACATCACTAAACCCCGCCCCTCAAGCCGTGGTGGTGGGCTGGCTGTCATCTACAACCAGAACATCCGGACTACAGAACTCACCCTCCCCTCAGTATCATCCTTCGAATTCCTCGCCTTCAAAACCCCTCCCTCACTGACAGTTATCCTCATTTACCGCCCCCCCAAACCACAGCCCTCCTTCCTCTCTGATCTCACTGAACTCCTCACCATTGCTTCATCCCTCTCCCCACGTCTGTTACTCCTCGGCGACCTCAACATCCACATGGACTCCCCCACCTGCAAACTCGCTTCTGAATTCTCCTCCCTTCTGGACAATTTCTCATTTACCCAACATGTCACCTTCC